GCAAAATGTTATAGGCCTCAAAATGTTTGTAGCAGTGGCAAAATCCAAATTCTTTTATTACCGGTTCTGTGGGTGTGGCTTGGTGAGCGTGGCAGGGAAAGGATACTGCAAAATCTCCATTCCGCCCCCACTCCAGGGAAAGGATACTGCAAAATCCCCATTCCCTCCCCACTCCTGGGGGAAGGAGATTGCAAAATCTCCATCCCCACCCCACTCAGGGGCCAGCCAGAGGTGGCATTTGCCAGTTCTCCGAACTACTCAAAATTTCCGCTACCGGTTCTCCAAAACCTGTCAGAAACAGTCACCCCTGGTTTGTAGGCCTCAGATTGTTTACAGAGAGCTGGAAAAAAAAGCAGAAAGATTAACAGCTGGGAAAAAGAAACTCATATGCTCTCCTTGTCCCAAAGGTGCTTTTTCAAGAGGCAACTGGACTTTCTTTGTTTTTCCTTGAAGATGTTTCGCTTCTCATCCAAGAAGCTTCTTCAGTTCTGACTCAATCAGAACTGAAGAAGCTTCTTGGATGGAAAGCAAAACATCTTCAAAGAAAAACAAAGAAAGTCCAGTTGCTTCCTGACAAACCACCTTTGGGACAACCATGATCTGGATGATTGAGAATCTCCATAGATATGCTTTCTTTGTTTTGCTGTTGTTGTGAAAACAGCAATGAGGAATATACTAATTTGGGCATATAAAACAACTAGACACAGGGACAATTTTTTTCCCGAATGCCATCACTCTGCTTAACAACTAATTCCCACAACACTGTCAAATAAATTACTAAGACTGTATTACTATTATTCATCTCTTCTTTACTAGTATCTATCTCTTCCCACTTATTACTATAACCATGTTGCTTGTATCTTTCAATTATATTGTTTTTGTTTCCTAGTACAATTTGATAGCTTATTAGTTACCTTGACTATCACTAAGTGTTGTATCTTTTTATTCTTGATGAATGTATTTTATCCTCCTTATGTACACTGAGAGCATATACATCTAAGACAAATTCCTCGTGTGTCCAATCACACTTGGCCAATAAAAAATTCTATTCTATATAAAAGCGAGTCCTTTTTTGCATAGCATTCATTGAACTTACAACCGCAAGATTGTTACGGCTGCATAATTAGTTGTAACTGCACCCATGGCAACTTTTAAAAAACCCAAATGTCACTTTCAGTATCCGATTTAATTTACTTCTCATGATTAGTTGCTGTGCCCATGCTTTGAAAAGGGTTATTACAGTGAGCCCAATTAAATAGCAGCATTGAGGCAAGTTTCCTTGATCCCAAAAAGCTAGGAAGAATTGCTGGTTAGACTGTGAAGCTAGAAAATATTTCCAGAAGACAGGGATATGGAAGCTGTCCATGTTCGGAGCCCATTGGTACCAATTTGATAAATTAATAGAATTCCTGCCAAGATAATTTGAAAGCTATGTATAACTCTGAAACAGATCTTTATCTGATTGTGGGCTTCCCATATGCATCTGGATAATAGAGATTCAATATTAGACTAGGAAAGCCTTTGATCTGACTGAATTGATTTAACAGAATAACAGAATTGGAAAGGAACTCGGAGGTCTTCTAGTCCAACCCTCTGCTCGAGCAGAACATCCTACACCATTTCAGACAAATGGTTTCCCAATCTCTTTTTAACAACCTCCAGTGTTGGAGCAGCCACAATTTCTGGAGGCAACTTGTTTCCACTGATTAATTGTTCTGTCAGGAAATTTCTCCTTAGTTTTAAATTGCTTCTCTCTTTGATAAGTTTTCATCCTTTGCTTCTTGTTATGCCTTCAGGTGCTTTGGAGAATAGTTGACCGTTTCTTCTTTGTGGCAGTCCCTTAGATATTGGAACATTGCTATTATGTTGCCCCTAGTCCTTCTTTTCATTCGATAAGACATACCCAATTTCTGCAACTGGTCTTCATATGTTTTAGCCCTTAGTCCCCTAATCTTCCTGGTTGCTCTTCTCTGCACCCTTTCTAGAGTCTCAACATCTTTTTTATATCATGGCGACCAAAACTGGATGCAATATTCCAAGTGTGGTCTTACCAAGATATTACAAAGCGGTATCAAAACTTCACGTTATCTTGATTTTTTGTTTGTATATTGTATGAATCCACTATTTACCGGGTACATGCCTCAAAATAATGGAATCAACATAAGCAGCACCTGCACACATCATTAAAAAAAAAAGGCAGCGAGCATCATCTCGTGCTCTCATATTTGTCCCAGTGCCTGCAGGTGCTATATGATGACACATTGCTGTATATGAAAGTGGTTATAAAATAAAAAGAGATATTTAAAAATTGCCCATACAGAAAGTGTGGTATTAGGGATAATGCTAGGTTAACATTCTTCTTCTTCTTTGGTGTATCATTCTTTACATAGAAAGAAGATACAAGTTTGTTTTGCTTTTCCCAAATCCTATGCTTTTGCTACTCAGCCCCTTGACTAGCAATTCAATTTGCAATAATATTTATTTTATTCGTCAAACATGTACAAGATAACAAGCTTAAGTATGAACAGAAACATAAACATAGGAAGTAAATACAAATAAATGGGGACGGTAAGACAGGGACGATATGCTGATGATACAGTTCTGCTTGCCAGTAACATGAAGACCTTCAACTCCTCATCAACAGAGTCTCAGAAATACCTGAAAAATATGGCTTGAAACTTAACCAAGATCATGGTTGTCAGCAAACAACCCATTAATTTACCACTGATAAATTTGGAAGGAATACCATTAGAAAAAGTTGAAAGGATCACGTACCTCGGTTTTAATTTACATGAAAGCTGGGACATGATCAGCGAAGTAAAGACAAGGATAGAGAAAGCTCGAACAGCATTCTTCAAAATGAAAAAAGTATTCTGCAGTCACGACATAAGCCTAAGATTGAAAATCAGGTTTGTCAGATGTTACATCTTTTCTATCCTGCTCTGTGGAGTAGAAAGTTGGTCTCTGACAGAAAACCACTTGAAGAAACGAGAATCATTTGAAATGTGGATTTACAGACGGCTGTTACGTATAAGCTGGGTTAACAAAATCACAAATGAGGAGGTAATAAGCCACCCAGGAAAGCAAAGGGAAATAATCAAAGCCATTAAAAAGCGAAAGTTAGATTATTTTGGACATGTGATGCGACACAGACAAAAATACGGCATACTTCACTTAATCCTCCAGGGAAAGATTGAAGACAAACGAGGCCCAGACAGAAGAAGAACATCATAGCTTCAAAACCTAAGGGACTGGTTTGGACAAAACTCAGCGCACTTTTTCATACGGCTGTTGACAAAAATAGGATTGCCAACATGATCGCCAACGTCCAATGACGGACGTGGCACAAAAAGAAGACAGGGACGATAGGCACGCTGGTGTACTTATGCACACTCCCTTTAGGGGCCTCTTAAGAAGGGAGTGAGGTCCACGGTAAACAGTTTGAGGTTGAAACTGTGAGGGTTTGAGGCTGTTTCAATGGAATCGGATAGAACATTCCAGGCGTTGACCACTCTGTTGCTGAAATCATATTTCCTGCAATCGAGTTTGAAGTGATTTACCTTGAGTTTGTATCGATAGTTTGCCCGTGTGTTACAGAGACAATATTGGAATATCATTTGTTGATGTCTCCATCCCATAAATTTGCCAGCCTGCTTCTCCACGTCAATGGCACTGTGTCCAAGACTTTGATTTTCCCTTGATTGCCAATGGAATAGCTAAATAATAAACTGTGTGCCAAGGGCATGGTATCCCTAATGACATGTGCTTAATTTAGAAAACTAAAAGAGATATCATCTATATAGTAGTGGGTTCCATTTACCTTTGCTACTGGTTCGGAATCGGGAGTGCTCGCGCGCTGTGCTTCTGCACAGAACCTTCTGCACAAGCGCAGAGCGTCCGTGATGTCATCCAGGCGGGTGAGCGGAGCTTCCCGCCGCTGCCACTATCAGTTCGAACTGGTACAGGGACGAACTGGTAGAAACCCACCATTGCATGTATATATGAATGGCTTATCAATAATTGATACTTAAATAACTGGGAGGCAGGGGGAGGGGGAGAGAAAGAGGGAGAAAGAGAAAGATGAAACAAATCCATTATGGAACTACCTACATGGGGCTCCCCTTGAGGAGCACCTGGAAGCTCCAACTGGTCCAGAATGCGGCCGCGCGGGTAATCCCAGGAGCCGCCTGGCGCTCCCACATAACACCACTCCTGCGTGAGCTGCACTGGCTTCCAGTGGTCTTCCGGGTGCACTTCAAGGTGTTGGTTACCATCTTTAAAGCGCTCCATGGCATAGGACCTAGTTATCTTCGAGACCGCCTGCTGCTACCGATGACCTCCCACCGACCTGTGCGCTCCCACAGAGAGGGCCTCCTCGGGATGCCATCAGCCAAACAATGTAGGCTGGTGACCCCCAGGGGGAGGGCCTTCTCTGTGGGGGCACCTACCCTCTAGAATCAGCTGCCCCCAGAGATAAGGAGAATCCAAGACCTTGGTGCCTTCCGTCGTGCCCTTAAAACTTTCTTTTTTCAGCAAGCCGGGCTGGCTTAACATATTTTTTAATATAATTTTAAAATTTTTAATTGGTTTGTTATCTTAAATTGGGGCCAAATTAATATATTTCTTTTTAATTGTTTTTAATATTTGTATTGTATGTTTTTATCTGGCTGTACACCGCCCTGAGTCCCTCGGGAGAAGGTGCGGTATATAAATTTGAAATAAAATAAATAAAAATAAAATAAACAAACTACCTATAATGTAGGTAAAACACATTTTAAAAGTCTGTAAATAAAATGACATGCCATGATTTATGGGATTAATTTCTTATGTTGAAATATTTCTGTGCTGCATTTTTTGTAATACATGAAGAGGCACGGAGACACATCAAGAGCCCAAGGAATTTTGTTTATAGACAGAATTAATGGATGTTTGCTACACCGAAGTTCACACGTTCCTTGATCCTTCCTTGAATTGGACGTAACACAATTTCAAGACAACCGTTCAAAAACAGAATAATTATTTATTGTTCCAGAAGTACATTTCTCTTTTATACATATTTAATAAATGATACAGGATTGTACACATGTTCATTATTTTATTTTATTGTTTTTCTTTTAAGGTCTTTTCTCCATGCCCCCTCCCTCACCCCAAACACACACTCAAGAGAATTCTGCTACAGGACTGTTTGCGTTCTTCCTTTTTAAAATGCTGCATACAAAGAGGATGAACAGATAATTTAACAATTTTTATTGGTTTTTTCCCCCCTCTTAAATAAAAAAAAAAATCGCCACATAATTAAAAGGAGAAAGGCGGGAAGGAAGTGGGAAGAGGAAAACATCTTGGAACATGCATCCATTCAGCTCAACATGCCATTGAGGGCGAGGGAGGAGCGACCATCCCATCTTGCAAGGCACCTGGCGTCTGGTTTATATTTATTTTACACTTTAAAACACAGTTCCTCCGAAAGTGGGAGCCTCTTGCCTTGACACAGTGAAAAGGAGTGAGCTGAAAGGAAATTCCAAGCTTTGTGAGAAGGAGCTCAGAGGCCTTCTTCCATCTCTTATCCTGTCTTCCCAGGATCTATCAAACAAGGACAACGAAGGCAGACATGGATTCTGTTTAGCACAAGTTGTAAGTTCTCCTTAGACAAGATCATCGGGCTTCTAGCAGGTGGTGGAGACCGCTGCCTTTCTCCCATGCCCTTTAGGGATGGAGGGATTACATCTGCTACCGTGCAGAAACCCTGACCCTTCAGCACCAGCCCGTACTTTTAAAGCTACTTAAAGAAGAGGGGGGGATTGTGGATCAAAGTGCAACTGTAGTCTTTTGCTTATCAAGACATAGTTATTCTGCTAGGCAAACATAAAAGCGTCATGATCTCAAGCCAAATACCGCATACATATATGCATTACCGTAGGCCCAAACTCTTTGATTTGCTTTAATTCGGAGGACTAGTCTATTTGGAGGAAGAAAGAGTAGTGGGGACGAAACATTCCTCCCTTAAGACTGTATAGGAACAGTTTTTTTCTCATGCAACATCACCATTTATGTGTAAAAGTTGATCAGGGCAGTGAAGCTGAAGAAGATATGCGGGAATATTTCCATGTTCAAATGTTCACAACGAGAATTATTCAGTTTGTGATCCGGATAAAACTGATAACATTGATAATCTTTCAGTATAAGGAGAAAGTTTGTTTGACAGTAAACAGACAGGGAGGAAAATGTTTTAGGTGTTTGTTTGTTTTTTGGTGGAGTAAAAAGAAATTTTGCATTTCTGTTACAAAACAAAAGAGAACAAAAACAAAAACAAAAAAAAGACACAGTAGGGTCCAATCTTGGGTTGCACATTAATGGAGACGTTTACTTCAATCTGGATCACCAATCATGGTGTCTTAAAATGGCTTGATTGTTTCCTTCTTTTGTTTAGCGCACTATTATTGTGCAATAGTTTGAAAGAGATTTTAAAAAAATGCTGAGCAGGCTGCTAGTGCTTCTTCAAGAGGCAGACACTGCAAAAGCTGGAAAAATATGTCCCCGATACAATTTCTTCATGAAATGCCCACCTTTATAATCTATATATTTTCATCCAAAAGAAAAAACGTTTGAATGAGACAATCTTTAAGCCCTTTGAAAAGACTTAGCATTCCACAGTGCCTGATTATTATTATTATTATTTTTTGACTGAACACATTACCCCTTCCCCAGTCAAGGTCTCTGTTTTAATGATTTAAAAACCCTCCACCCCCAGAAGACCTTCCAGCTTCCACTTGAAATGCTTTCTAATGAAAGAGGCAAGAGCTTGAAAAGATCTGCCACTTCTGTCAAAATACGGAGGTTCCTCTGACGATCAGTCTTTATCACTGATTTGTTGAACAGGTAGATGTACCTGTAAGGGATCCCGAAGTCTCTTAAGGTCCAATTCTGCCTAAAAATCAATAAAATGAAGACATAAGTACCATATTTCTCTCCATCATACTCTAGTACGTCAAACTCAATATCATTGAGGGATGCGTCAGGGTTGTGTTTGACCTAAGGGGGCCGGGGTGGGCTTAGCCAGGGTGGGCGTGGCCATCTTGACATCACTCGTGTTGAGGGCGCCTGTGCGGGCCCGAGCACTCTGCCAGCAAAAATGGAGCTCGGGAGGTTGCGTGTGGCCCTCCGGAACTCCATTTTCACTGGCAGAGGCACTATGGCCGGTCCTTTTGCTGTTTCTTGGGCGGCCCCACGGGCCAGATCTAAGCACCCTGCAGGCCTGATCTGGCCCGTGGCCCTTGAGTTTGACACCACTGCTCTAGTGTAATGCATTACAGTAGAGGTCCCCAACTCCTAGGCTGCGGACCAGCACCGGTCCACGGCCTGCCAGGAACCAGGCCACACATATGAGAGAAGCCTCAATCGCACATGTGCGGGGTGCAGGCAGCACATGAAACTACGTTCTCCTTATCCAAGGAAAAACTGCTCTCCACAAAACTGGTTCCTGAAGCCGAAAAGCTTGGGGTTAGCTGCATTACAGGTAATCTTATTCCAAGTCGACATACAGTATCCACATTCACAAAAGGTCACCATAAAAAAAAATCCAGGACTTTCCCATGAGGTAAACATTAAGTGTTGAATCCACCTTAGATTATATGTACATAGTGTCTTTGACTTACAACCATTAGTTTAGTAAACATTTGAAGTTAACTGAAAAAAAGTGATTTATGACTGTTTTCCACACTTACAACCATTGCAACATGGTCATGTGATCAAAAATTTGGACGTGTGGCAACTGCTCTGTCTGACAATGCTGAAAAGGTGACTTACAACCAATGCAGCATCCTGGGAGATCACATGACAATTATGTTGTCACATGATCTCCATTTGCAACCCTTTCAGGGGGATATCCAACAAGGAAAATCAGTGGGGAAACCAGATTCGTGTAACACTCATATGATTTGCTTAATGGCCACAGTAAAAGTTGTCAAACTGGACATAACTTACTTAATAATCACATCATTTAATGATGGAAGTTCCAGTCCCAATTGCGGTCATTATTCAAGAACTACCTGTAGTGCTTTATCTTTCCAATGTGCTGCAGGTTTAATCAACTTTCTTCTGGGCTGAAAACTATATTAACATTATAAAATCAGCTGTAAATAACAATGTCTTTTGTAATACAAATGGGAAAAACATGAGGAAAGCAGTTCAAAGAATTACTGAATTTTCAAGAACTAACATGGGACAATTTCCTACTTCCCCCCAATATCTTCCAAGGATTAATTTTTATTACCTGAGCAATAGCATCCTTGAGTTGATTGTATTTTTCTAGATCAAAACGTGTCTTTTTGGCTCCTTTATGGAAAAATAGTAAGTACTGCCTGTCTCTAGCATCTGGATATACATATTCCTATTGAATGAAAGAATAAATTAATTGAAACCTTAGACACGGACACTTATTTATCAATAACCAATTTGAAAGAACAAGAAACTCAACTCTGGGCTAATTTGTATCTGCATTAATTTAACATGGAATACGGACAAATTATATGCCACATGATGCTCGGCAGATCTGATTATCAACTGAATGGTGATAATATATTAAGTCTTTTTGATATATTATCTTACTTATGATTATTTGCAGGAATTGAGCAATGTAACAGACACTGTGTCATTTCGAATATGCAACCGAAAGCAAGTTTTGACAGCTTAGTCAATTTAATTTTAATTTTGCTCCACAGTGGTTGAGTAATTTAAGCCACCTAGAGTTTGAGTGATACATTACAAATTACTATAATAAATAAACAAATGATTAAGTAGTTGGAGAACAGCAGGCGGGATATGAAACTCTGCCTAGGTACAATAATGCGAGTAAGTTATTGTGGACAAGGGACAGGAAGGAGAACTATATGGTTATTTGATCTTTATTATTGCCGCCACTAGCTACTCCATAGATGGCCAATGATTTTGGTCTTAAAAGCCAAACAGGTTACGGGACTTGTAGATGCACATAGGCTAATTCATACCTATACATGCCATTTTGCACATCTTCATATTCAGCGATCCTGAATTGTGTCAAAATGGGGAAGACAAAAGCAAGCTTTCCATTAGCTTTCAAAGCCATCCTTTCTCTGGCACTCAGATCTTGATGGAAGGGGTATCTAGAGGTGCTATCAGAATGGCATATATGAGCCCACCTCCCCATTAGCTCTAAGAGAAGAGTGTTTACGCACTATGAAGTTATTACACTGCAAGTGGCTATCTAAAGTGTGAACATATGTAAATTCAATTCTCAGCAGAGGGTTTGAACCCCTTAGAACAGGGGTGTCAAACTCGATTTCATCAAAGGCTGCATTAGGGTTGTGTTTGACTTGAGGAATGGGGTGGGTGTAGCCAAGGAGGCATAGTCAGCTTGATGTCACTCGTGTTGGGGGCGTCTGGGTTGGCCCAAGCGCTCTGCCAGGGAAAACTGGCTCCGAGTTCTGTTTTCAGCCACAACGGCCTCCTGCCACCCTCTGCTGGTGAAAACAGAGCTGGGGGGGAGCTCCAGTTTCACTGGCAGAGGGTGGCAGGAGGCCGTCACAGCCAAAAATGGAGTCTGGGAAGGCCGCATGCTCTGTTTTCTCTGGCAGAGGCACCGCAGGCTGGTCCTTTGCTGTTTGTAGGGCGGTCCCAAGGGGCCAGATCTAACCACCCCATGGGCCGGATCCAGCTCCCGAGCCTTGAGTTTGATACCCCTGCCTTAAGAATAATACCTGGCTACCCACATCTGAAAAACCCCAGTAAGGATCAAATTGATCACATATTGCATCCTGATGGTCTATGAAAACTAAAAACACTACACAAGATGCAAACTGTGTAATAATAGAGCCTCCTTCCCCACCCAAACCCCCAGAAAAGGTTGTGTAAATAATATGTAATCTAGTACATGGTGACATGAAATAACATATGCCTGTATCCTTCTCTGAATTCTTAAGGAAAGGTGGACTGTATACAGGTACTCCTTGACTTACAACCATTTATTTAGTGATCGAAGTTAAAACGGCACTAAACAATTGATTTATGACCATTTTTGACACATAGAACTGTTGTGGCATCCCGGTTGTCATGTGATCAAAATTCAGACACTGTTGTGGTCCGCCAGCAGCCTGCGGAGCTGGCAGTGGAGTCGGAGAGTGAGGAGGCTGGGGAGGAACATGGGCCAGTCCTGGAGTCTGGCGAAGGCTCAGATGAGGGCTCTGTGTTAGAGGCAGAGATGGGCCAGGGTCATCTGGGAGTTATGCGCAGACTCCGGAGCCTCCAGAGTCAGACATCAGAGAGGAAGAGGAACAGAAGGAGCCTGTTCCTAGTGCGCACATGTGCAGAGCTGCCAGAAGGCAAGAACGGTTAAAACAAAAGGGATGACTCGGGAGTAAGGCCTGGAGATGATTGGCCCCTCCCATAAGGCTTAAAAGAGGAGTAAAGGCACATGGGCCCTTTGCAGGAAAACAACATTGTTAATTCTGTTCCCAGTCGGCATCTCTGTTTGATTCTGGACTCCGTGTGGCTTTGCCAAGTAGGTCTTTGGCAGCATGTAAAGGGAGATAAAGGTTGGTGATTATCCCGAAGGACTTCTCCCGAAGGACTTTTTGCAACTAATTGGGACTCAGCTGTGAATGAACGTAATTCACAGCTGTTGCAATAAAAGAGGTTTTTGGGACTACTGGTATGTTTTAATGACTCAAGAAGCCTAGGTCACAACAGACACTTGACAACTGGTTCATACTGATGACAGTTATAGGGTCATGTGATGTCATTTTGTGACCTTCTGACAAGGTGAGTCAATGGGGGAAGCCAGATTCACTTTAAAACCAATTTAACAACTGCACTGATTCAGTAATAATTGTGGCAGGAAAGGTCATGAAATGGGAGCAAAACTCATTTAACAACTGTCTTGTTGAGCAATGGAAATTTTGGATTCAACTGTGGTCGTAAGTTGAGGACTACCTGTATATCATTCTGATAGTGGTGGCACAATGGTTAGAATACAGGGTTGCAGGCTAATTCTACCTACAGCCAGGAGTTCGATCCTGATCAGCTCAAGGTTTACTCAGCCTTTCATCCTTCCAAGGTCAGTGAAATGAGGACCCAGATTGTGAGGGGCAATATGCTGACTCCGTAAACCACTTAAAGAGGGTTGTAAAGTACTGTGAAGCAGTATATAAGTAAGCGCTATTGCTATGTGCCATGAAATCAGTATAGGACTCTGACTTTCTGATTCTCTTAGCAGAAGAAAACCAATGATCAGTGGGACGCTCCTAGTAATAGCAGAGTAAGAGGGAAATGTATGATGGGAACCAGAAGGCAGGCACCCCTACCATTAATAGCAATAGCATTTAGACTTATATACCGCTTTGTAATGCTTTACAGCCCCCTCTAAGCAGTTTTACAGAGTCAGCATATTGCCCCCAACAATCTGGGTCCTCATTTTACCCACCTCGGAAGATGGAGGCTGAGTCAACCTTGAGTCTGGCGAGATTTGAACTGCCAAATTGTAGGCAGCCGATAGTCAGCAGAAGTGGCTTGCAGTACAGCACTCTAACCACCACCAAGGCTCATTAACGTGCATTCTACTGTGGTTAAGATACCAAATGCAAATCTAAATATATCCCTGTAATGTCTTGGAAAACATGGTTCCTGCCCTGCGTTTTTAAAAGATAACATAAGCAAGCCTACAAATTTAGACAAAAGTCTGAAAATGGCACTTAATAAGCTGAGAAGGATCCTCATGCATTCACCCTTTAGCTTCAGTGAATTCTTTACCTATGAAAGGAGTTTTTGAACTTGTGTGCAACAATATGAAAACCATACAGAACTCTCAAAGGGAATACAGGAGTCTGACTGCCAGAGAAAATTAGCTGAAATACAAAATCAGTACCTTAAAAACCAATTCGCACATGTATATGTATTAAAGGTAAAGGTTCCCCTCGCACATATGTGCTAGTTGTTCCCGACTCTAGGGGGCGGTGCTCATCTCCGTTTCAAAGCCGAAGAGCCAGCACTGTCCGAAGACGTCTCCGTGGTCATGTGGCCGGCATGACTAAATGCCAAAGGCGCACAGAACACGGTTACCTTCCCACCAAAAGTGGTCCCTATTCTTCTACTTGTATTTTTTATGTGCTTTCGAACTGCTAAGTTGGCAGAAGCTGGGACAAGTAATGGGAGCTCACCCCATTACGCCGCACTAGGGATTCGAACCGCTGAACAGCCGACCTTTCGATCGACAAGCTCAGCGTCTTAGCCATTGAGCCACCACATCCCTGTATATGTATTAGAACTATGCAATGCTTTGAGTGATTCTTTTCTCTCCTAAAGGTTCAAGTAATTTCATAACTGATTTATGAAACAAATGTTCCCCCCACCCCATCTGCCCACTTCAAAGGGTGAAACAACTACATTATTTGCATTTTTTTTCTGCTTTGCAGCCTCTCTGGGTTTTGTTCTGCAGGACTAACTTTCTGAGAGGGTGCACCCTTAAGTGGAAGAGGAGACATTTTCAGCAGAATTTTGAAGGAGAAGATTTTGAGGAGGAGATGCAGTTCAACTTGAAGCATCACTTCAAACCTCTTCAAGTCAGCAGGATGAAAAACAGCTCCTCCTTATCCTTTTGCCCCAATATTTTCTGAGCAGGCAGCTTTCGTGATCTAAAACTGGAAGGTAGGTCTCTGAAGCTGTGTTAATTGACTTTTGGAAGTCAACTGTCATTGTCCTTCAGGCTTTTCTTGGCAAAGTGAATCACATCAGTTCCACAGTGCACATCTATGTCATGTTGCCCATAAATTAGAACAGAATAACAGAGTTGGAAGGGACCTTGAAGGTCTTCTAGTCCAACCCCCTGCTTAGGCAGGAAACCTTATACCACTTCAGACAAATGGTTGTCCAATTTCTTCTTAAAAAATTCCAGAGTTGGAGAATTCACAACTTCTGGAGGCAAGTTGCTCCATTGATTAATTGCTCTAACTCTCAGGAAATATCTTGTTGGTTCTAGGTTTCTTCTCTCGATTAGTTTCCATCCGTTGCTTCTTGTCCTGCCCTCAGGTGCTTTGGAGAATAGCTTGACTCCCTCTTCTTTGCGGCAGCCCCGGAGATATCGGAACACTGCTATCATGTCAATCCTAGTCCGTCTTTTCATTAAACTAGACATACCCAATTCCAGCAACTGTTCTTTATATGCTTTAGTCTCCAGCCCCCTAATTATCTTTGTTGCTCCTCTCTGCACTCTTTCTAGAGTCTCCACATCTTTTTTACATCATGGCAACCAAAACTGGATGCAATATTCCAAGTGTGGTCTTACCAAGGCATTATAAAGTGGTATTAACACTTCATGTGATCTTGGACTGAATTATGCAACCTCCTTTTTCCAAAATAAACACCGTTTTAATGCAAAGCCCATCTTACCTGACGCGTTACTACGAAGTATGCATACATTGCCATGGCACTGCCATATGTGATGAAGTAGGTGACTGGCTCCATAATGTCCCAAGAATATTCCCACCAGGTGAGCCGAGCCAAGATTCCAAACTGGGTTGCCATGTAAGCCAGCCCACCCCACAGTAGCCAGGTTGTCCTCCTCTCTGCTTTTCTGCAAAGTTCCATCCTGACCTGCAAAAGAAAATTGTCCAGGGCTAGTACAGTATTGAGCAGTGGCCTTTAATACAAGTTGAAACATAACCCAAGCACGTTGTCTAATCCAGTGTTCCCTCAACATGCTAGCTGGGGGATTCTGGGAGTTGAGGCCCACCCATCTTAAAGTTGCTAAGATTGAGGGAATACTAGAAGTGTTTTTAATGTCAATATTTTTGATGGGAGACTAAATGACAGATTGTTCAAATCAGGGGTGAAGTGCTTCCGGTTCGGACCGGATCGCCCGATCCGGTAGCGATGGTGGCGTGTGGTTCGGAAAACCAGTAGCAAAAATCCCTGGTCCTCCCCCTCCCCCATGCCCAGCTGAGCAATCATCAGAGGCTTTTTAAAAAAAAAATTAAAAGCATTTTTTCTACAACCTCTTTGGCTGAAAAAATGCTTTTAAAAATAAAAAAAAAAGCCTCTGACAATCGCACAACTCAGTCGGGATCGTCAGAGGCTTTTAAAAGCGTTTTTTCTACAACCTCTTCGGCCAAAGAGGTTGTAGAAAAAATGCTTTTAAAAGCCTCTGACGATCCCAGCTGAGTTGCCTGATCGTCAGAGGTTTTTAAAAGCATTTTTTAAACAACCTCTTCGGCCAAAGAGGTTGTAAAAAAAATGGTTTTAAAAGTTAAAAAAAAAAACCCAACCAGTCACATTACTCCTCCACCAAGCCACACCCACAGAACCGGTAGTAACAAATTTTACATTTCACCACTGGTTCAAATGCAGAATAACCCATTTCCCATTCTTTCTGAGTAGTTACCATGTGTTTCCAATGCTCTAATGAAGTCCTTGCTCTAATATCCCAGGTCCCACCTTCTCATTTTAAAAGAAAATAGTTTGAAGTAAGATGGCCTCTCTTGCAAATTTTACAGAAAGAAGGGAAGGCTTACAGATAAACTCAAGGAGAGAGTACCTCATCATGTCCACAGAATGTTTACTTTCGGACTTTATTATGGCAAAAATATCACTAAATCCTTCATTTTGTCTCCTGTTGAAAATATGGATGTCTGACTAGACCAATGTGACAATTAAGATGAGTGGGCTTCAACTCCTAGAATTCCAGAACAGAAGTCTCTTCTCCAATAGTGGAACAGAATTTATCCCTCATTATAATCCCTCTTGGATCAGTCTCCTGGTAGGAATTAGAATTCTTCTCTTATTTGTAGTAAAAGGAATCAGCCAAAAGATTCTGGCTACTAGTTACAAACAGAAAGCTAACCCACTACTTGTTCTTGGTTTGGATTTCACAATTCTACATGTCATAAGCTTTTTCATTTATTTGAAAGAACAGCCAATCCCAATTTCTTATTCCCTTTCCATGGTGCATTTATAACACTCTGGTGCACCAAACTTTGTCCAAGAGCAGGAACTGTGATTTAACACAATTTTCAAAACAGGGATTTCAGATCCTGATGACTAAACAGCACCTTGTAGTGTTTTTCAACATTGGCAACTGTAAGATAGGTGGATTTCAACTTCCAGAACTTCCCAGCCAATTCTGGGAGTTGAAGTCCACCATCTTAAAAATTGCCGAGGTTGAAAAACATTGTGATAAAGACTGATGAACAAAGCCAATACACAAGAGGAGCTCATGTGTCTGTGCAGAGTGTTTTGAGAATTTTATACTAAGTTGTGGACAAATTAACCATGATTCAATTAAATGGGAAACAGTGCTTTATAACAAGTCATGTTCCTCCTTCCCCCCTTTACTAGTTTTTTAAACAGAAATGCTCAGATCTAGACCCATTTATTAATAGATAAGCCTCAACGTGTTGCAGTCTGAAGAGTTAGCTCAAGAATATCTGACTGTTGTGGCCCGTCACAACAGACTCGGACAATGAGGAGGCTGGGGAGGAACTTGGACCAGCTCTGGAGTCTGGGGAAGGCTCTGATGGATGCTCTGCATCGGACGCAGACATAGAGCTAGGGCCGTCCAACATTTCCCAGCCACCGGAGAGACAGCTGCCTTTGGAGGCCGAGATAAGTAGGGAGGAAGAACAGCTGGGGACTGTTCCAAATGCGCATATGTGCAGAGCTGTTAGGAGAGGAGAACAACTGAGGACAAGGAGTCGACTCGGGAAGCAAGGCACATGTGGATGCTAAATGGCCCCTCCCTGGCTGGGGAATAAATAGAAGGAAAGGGGAATGGTGGCCATAGGAGACAACAGTTCATAGTTCTGAAGATTTTGGCTCATCGTGTTTCGTGCCACAAAGACTGCTTGCCAGAACTTACTTTGCAGCCTTTCATCTGGGAGCTCGGCCTTGAAATTATCGCAAGGAACTGATAAGGTCTGTACTGCAGTGAACTCCTTGAAGGACTAATGCCTGGACTTTTCGGTAGGTGAATGCAATTAATTCACAAGAGGAAAATAAAGCGGGGTTTTTCGTGACAAGGAGTCTGTTTCTTGTTTCTGCTAAAGCTCGGTCAGAACACTGACAAGGAAATCACTTGTAAACGAACATTGGCTGGGTAAGGATCAGAAGACCTTTGTGGTTGTCTATTTTTCCTTTATATGATTTTTAAATCAATTCTTACAATACATACAGTAACAGATATTCCTTGGCCACTTAAATATTAGTCCAAGAAATAAATTTACATATGATTTTTTTTTACATATGGAAAAACCCTTTACAAAGAGGGTTGTCTGAAGCCATTAATGTACAATACAGGTTCTTTGTTCAGCTGTCAAGCTTCCTGAAACAAATCTCAGTGCCCTCACTTTTTCCATGGGTGCCAATTGCTGCTTGAGGTCTTCTAACCTCCCAATCAATTCCTTCTCCTTTTTCAGCTGGTGTTCTTCAATACACAGTGTGGTATAGAGCTGCTGAACCAAAGTCTTCACATCATTCAACGTGGTGGCATCTTCGTGGCTTAAGAGATCTAAAGAAGAACACAGATCTTTTAATATCCTTATTTTTCACAGTGTGATGGTACTGTGTATAATGTCCTACTGAAGGGATGAAACTTACAAAATTAAATAAAATAAGAGGATGGAATTAACTGGATTACTCAATGCGTTGCATGGCAACTCATGTTCTGAGAAGTTTTTAAACAATCAAACACTGTTCCAGTTTAAGGTTGGCTTATATTCACTTCTTCCAAGATAAAAACTGATAAAACACTTCTAGACTGGATTGGCAAATTACAGAAAAAGGAAAGCCTAAAATTCCATTTAAAATTCAGTATCTAAAAGGTGACAATTGGGGCCATACTTTTAATGTTGCCTTTATTTTTTATTTGTTAAGCTAAAAGTCCATTCTACAGCAAATAAGTCACTTGAAAATGTTCGTGTTTGGTATTTAACATTAAGTGGCTTTTGGACTCAATCAGTAACAACGGGTAGATATTCTATTTTAGTTCATTTTATTTGTATCCCGCCTTTATTATTTTTACAAATAACTCAAGGCAGTGAATGTTGTGTTTGGATTATAGTCATTAACTGAGGCGAGGATGTCAACGTAACATCGGTTTATTTCAGGCAACAGCAAAACATTAGAACACTGAACTGTCGGTCTATCTGACAGTTCGCCTTTTTAAACTTGGCAAATAGAACAGCATTAACCAATCAGGAAACGAGTAACTCCCGCACTTAGCATAACCCCGTCCCAACCAATCAGGTGCAGGCATTTCCATCGCTATGGTAACACGCCGACACAACAGTGAACATATCCAAAAGCACCTTCTTTTTCCTAAACTCACGGTCTCCTGCTTTCCACCCTGGTGCCTTAACTATTAGACATGTGTGTGTGTGTTTGTGTAATATGGAATAGCATTACAAATACGAAATGCATGACTATGTGAAAATTGTACTCAAATGGGTTGGCAAATCAAAAAAGTACTTCAGATTCTTCACATTCCATTTCCCTCTTAATACTTTAAGGTTATAAGGGTATATAAAGGAAGTTGAGTTTCATCCATTTACAAAACAATAGCAACATAAAACAGATAATACATGAAAACATGAATGTCTGGTTTCATGTAATAATAAAAGTAGAACTTAAACCAAAATTATAATGCAGAGAAGGGCCATGTCTGAAGATCATCAGGTGACCTCATTCTTGGTTCATATTGGGAGAAGTTTAAGTCTAGTAAAAGAAATGAAGGACTTCTACTAGAAGCAGCATTCTACTGAACTATGAATATAGAGCTTCTGCACCATCTGAATCAAACAAGAACTTCTGATATCAGAAAGAAAAACAACCATATATGAAGATGAGCTTAAAGACACAATGGACAGGACACACCATCCAGCATAAGAAATGTTTGAATGAGCACATATTCAAGCCATTACAAGTAGATTTTTCGCCCAGTTATGTATTTGATCTGAAGAGTCCCAAGAAAGCTAACGTGATAGGACTTTGATCTAGGCTAATATAGCTTAATTTACATTTTATATCCCAGGGGTGCAAGACAATTTATTTGAGCTTTCATGCTTTACATACATTTTACCGAAAATATATTATATCTTCATTTATGAAGCCCTAAACATCTGTTTAAGCCCTTCCAATGGTAAGGAATCCCAAAGATGCTTTTTCAAGAGGCAACTGAACTTTTTTGGTTTTCTCTGAAGATGTTTCGCTTCTCATCCAAGAAGCTTCTTCAGCTCTGAAGATAGAGCTTCAGAGTTGAAGAAGCTTCTTGGATGAGAAGCGAAACGTCTTCAAAGAAAAACAAGAAAGTCCAGTTGCCTCTTGAAAAAGCACCTTTGGGACAACCATGACCTGGATGACTAAGAATCTCCATAGATAATGGGTAAGGAGGTCTTCAAAAATCAGACATGATTGGAGAGAAAAAAATGGATAATGAAATCTATCTTTGGTTAAAAGATGAATCTTTGGGTAAATAACGAATGACAATCAAATTCAAGCCTGTTTTTATCTTTTGCCTTTACTGAAAATGTGGACCCTGACTGTTCATTTTGAAGAGAAAAATAACATGGAACAGTCTCCCCTAAAATGCAGTGGGTCCCGAACATTTTGGTCTTCCAAAAGGCGGTGAAGATTCAACTCTTGCCCCAGTCACTGGCCAAGATATTAGTTATAGGAGGGGTCCTATTTTAGGTTTTCTATAAAGCACTAACTGTTGTATCACTGTCCTCGACTTAATAGTCTTTTGTTTAGTGATAAAAGGTTTTGTTTACAATGGCACTGAAAAAAGTGACTTTTTTTCACACTTATTTATCATTGCAGCATCCCCATGGTCACGTGATCAAGAAAAAGAGCCTTGGTGGCGCAGCAGACTAAAGTGCTGTTAAGTAGCAGCAGCTGCCTGCAATTACTGCAAGTTCAAATCTCACCAGGCTCAAGGTTGACTCAGCCTTCCATCCTTTCGAGGTAGGTAAAATGAGGACCCGGATTGTGGGGGCAATAAGCTGACTTTGTATAAAAAAGAACACCGCTTGGGGGGGGCCGAAAGCCCTACTAAGCAGGTATATACAAAAGTATGAAGGCTATTGCTTAACGCATTGTAAGCCGCCCTGAGTCTCTGGAGAAGGGCGTCATATAAATTGAACCAATAAATAAATAAATAAATAAATAAATTCGGGCGCTTGGCAACTGGATATTTATGATGGTTGCCATATCCTGGGATCATGTGATCACCTTTAGCGACCTTCTGGCAAGCAAAGTTAACAGGGGAAGTCAGATTCACTTTACAATCATGTTACTATGCAGGAAGTCACTTAACAAATGTGGCAAGAAAGGTTATAAAATGGGGTGAAACTCCCTTACCAACTATCTCACTTATTAATTAAAATGTTGGCTGCAATTGCAGCCGTAAGTTGAGGATTACCTGTATTATGATTATTTTTATTTAATTCAGATTGTGCTTTGAGGCTTTATTTTTCATTTTTTTTAATGAACTGTTGTCCGTTGCCTGGATTTATGCATTTATGATGGACTGCCATAGAAATCCCCTTTATAAATAAATAAAATCAATTAAACAAGCACGGGTGCCAATTTGAAAGAGCAAGCCCTTTTGTTATGACAAAAAATACTAAGAACATACAACAGGGATATACAAAAAATGTAGAAGCTTAATGCTTTGAAACAACTTGGCATGGAAAGCAATTAAAGGCATAAAGCCAAACTAGTCAAGTCCCAGAAAATCATGCACTAAAGCCATATTTAAAACAACTTTTATGAAACCATCTTTCCTCTTCTACCCGAGCAGATTGAAGATATTTTGTAACAGCTGCTCTTCTCAAAACTAAAACTCATTTTACAGCACAAAAAAAGAAGAAGAATGCATGGGTATATAGGAAAAAGTGTCAGTCAAGACCACGGGCAGGCTTCAAAAATTTCAGCGACGGGTTCTCTGCCCGGTTGCTGGGTGGGCGTGGCCTTGGTGGGCGTGGCCTAGTCGGCCTCCTGCACCACGGTGGGCCCCGTTTTCACCTTCCCCAGGCTCCAGAGGCTTTCCTCGAGCTTCTGGGAGGGCGAAAACTGCCTCCCCCAGGCTCTGGAGGCCCTCCGGAGACCGGAAACGGTCCTGTTTTTTTCCCCCTCCCCAAGCCTCCGTGTGGGCCCTGCATTTACCTTACATCAAAAATGGGCCGTGTAGAGACTCCTGGGAGAGGCGGGGTGGGCAGGGCCAGCCAGGGGTGGGATTTGGAGGTTCTCCAAACTGGCCATAACGTTACTTACAGGTTCTCCCAAACCCGAGCGAATCCGTAGCAACCCAACCCCGGTCAAGACTCAGGAGAACACACAACTAAACCAGACATAGGACCATTGTTCTCAAAGCATGGAGAAACAGTAAGGATATCATGATGGCTAGGTGATAGTATGTTTGGAAAAGATGTAACTTTCCAAACAGACATGAAATTATCTTTTTAATTATTGGATGGAGGAGTTTCACGCAAATGACTTCTGGAAATCTATCCTGATCGCATGAAGCTGTTTACCTCTCTTTGGTGGACGGACGTGGTAACTCAAGTCATTAATTACTAGTTTGAACTCGTCAAGAAGTAGGAGATCTATGCTTGTGGAAGCTGCTACTCGTGTCCCATCTGAAAGCAAAACAGGAATAGATGTATTAAGAGCTAGATATGACTTATTAATATTTCAGCAGTGTTCCATTGCAAATTAGTATATTCTACCTTAGAGAAATGAACTGAAACTATAGTTCAAGGGTTCCAATTTATAATCTCAAAAATACAGGTAGACCTTGACTTGGAGACCATTCAAAGTTACAACAGCGCAGAAAAAAAAATGGCCAGTCCTTTCACTACATGACTGCTGCAGCATCCCTATGGTCACATGATCAAAATTTGGGTGCTTGGAAACTGGCATGTATTTATTTATGATGGTTGCAGCATCCCAGGGCAATACAGCTGCCATCTGCAACCTTCTCAGCTGACTTCCAACAAGCAAAATCAATGGGGGAAGCCGGACTCGCTTAGCAACCACGTAATTCATTTAACAGCTGCAGTAATTAGCCGAACAACTGTGTCAACAAAGGTCGTAAAATCTGGGCACAATTCACATTAACCACCATCTTGTTTAACGATGGAAATCCTGGTCCCGTAAGACGAGGACTACCTGTATCTCAGAAACTAAACTATTCCTTGTATAATTCCGACTGATGGAAGCAGAGCTGTGTATGGGCAAAATGGATCATGAGCAAAAACATCAACCAAAATAAGTGGGTAGAGATTTTAAAGGGGCACCAAAGTGGTAGGACACCTATTTCCTACCTTTTTTAGTTGTAAACAACTTTCCAATTTCAAATGCTTTTTCTCCCCGTGGAGCCCTAAGACCAGAAACAGACTTGAGGGGAAGAGGTTTTTTTTTTTACTGACAGATACTATTACAAGCAAGAAATGGCAAATCGGGAGATCGTTTTAACATCTTTTGTCCACTTTTCTTCCGCTTTTACCCTGATCGACTGACAAATCTTTGGTCAATACAGACAGCATGTGTTCAATATAATTAAGACCTACTATTTTAAATTTTACTTTAAACTTTTTCTATTACATATTTAACTTCCACCTGGTGACTAATGTTCTCTTCTTTGGAACTCCGGTTTGTTTGTAGCAAACCATAGGTCAAAAGTTACATACTATTTTTCTTTCTCCAAAAAACGAAGCGGCTAATCTTACACAACACCAATCCCTATCAATCCCTATAGGATTAGCACGATGTAACAACAACAACAAAAAGTCAACAAAAGAATGAAATATAGCCACATCAATAGCCAGGAGTATAAATAATCCATCAAGAACATGCTGGCTGGGGAATTCAAAAGTCCACAAATCTTTTAAGTTGAGAAATAGTGATCTAATCTAAAGCCGAAGGATGTCATTGGGTTCCTTCAGTAATGCTCAGTATTACCTGGTGAATAAATTGCAACTCGGTCGATTCCCCGGTCTTCTGCCTGGAGTTGTTGTAAGAATATTCCGACGGAGTCTGAGAGAGGTTTAAGTGTAAACTGGCAGCGTTCACGCCGAGAAGGAAGACTCAAGGATATCACTGGTAGCCCATTTTGGTAAATCACTGTAACGTCTGAGAAGAGGGACAATTGAAACAGATTCAGAAAGGCATGTTAAGATATACACTGGTGTTAAGTTGAAGCCTATAGACAAAAGACACATATCACATAATTACTGTATTTTTCGGAGTATTAGATGCTCCAGATATAAGACGCACCTTAGTTTTGGGGGAGGAAAATAAGAAAAAAAAATTTCTGCCTCTACCTACCAGCATCCATCAGTATTCATCTGGCTAGCGTCCTATCAGTGTGTGAGAGAGTTGAGAGCTGTTTGGAAACTGAAACAGTATTTGCTGTGTGAGCAACAAGGAAGGAGACAGCAAGGAGCCTGGGCGTGGCTTAGCTCAACTGTTCTAAAGCTGCGTGCTGTGCTGATCTCTGAAACTGAAACTGAAACTCCTCTCTCCTGCCTGTGTTTTGCTTGTATTTACTACCACGTTGGAAAACCTGCTTTTGTTATTGTAAATTTACTTCCTGTGTTATATTATATATAAAGAGAAGTTATTGAATCCTACTGAATCAGGTACTTCTGTGTGCTTTCTGGATGTGATTGCTGGTGCAAACTCTGACACTCCTTGCAGCAAATAGCAAACAGCCAGATCAGCTTCAGCACATTATTGCAGCCTGATTCAGCACAAGCAGCTGATTGGCGGGTGGATCGGCCTCCTGGAATACCCCCAATTAGCTGTTCCAGGCTTCAAGGATTGCCAGAGACCATTGCCGCCTCTGTGCCTCACGTTTTTGGCATTGGGTGTATAAGACACACCCAAATTTTCATCCTCTTTTAGGAGAGAAAAAAGTGTGCTTTATACTCCGAAAAATATGGTAGGTGTCCTATCATAGAGAGTTTCATTGGTTTTTCTGAATATTGCAGAGGACTAGGCTAGAGTTTCTTCAGGGCCTTTCCAATTCTATACTTCTAAGATTCCTAGAAGATTGCTAAGTATTGACTTCAACTTTTTTTCTATATGAAGCTTCAATAAATCAATGTTACATTCCTCCTTGAGAAGTGTTCCCTAGGAAAAAAGGTTTTTCATGTAACAATCATTTCTGAACAAGGGTCGTGAAGCAGTAACTTTATTCAAAGTAAATGTTATCCAAGTCCCAGAAGAGAGGAGATAATTGCAGAGATCAATACTATTTTTTTTGTCTTTTAATGACCCCGTAATCCCTTGCGTTGGGGTGGAGTCCGGGCAACTGAATGGAATTGAGTGTTTACTGGCCAGATGTCTTTCCTGTCGCCAATGCAGAGTTCACAGCTGATATTTACTCATTGTGCCCAGAGAGAAATATCTGCCGTTACCTAGAATCGAACTCACAGCCTCCTGATTGTGAGGTGAGAGCTCTACCTCTAGGCCACTGCACCACTCGCAGAGATCAATGCGATATCCCGTTGAATATAGAAAGCGGAATTTCTTCTTCGATATAAGGGGAAATGGATTTGTTTCCAAAATGTTTGGAGCCACCGTTATAGACACTAAAGAAGATAACCTTGAGGGAGATATGCAAGCTCCATCACCACATCAAGAAGGGGTTAAACTTTTTTTAAAAGTCCAGAACATCCAGATAATATTGGGAAATAGTTTAGATAGATAGCTCCCTAGTTCACTGAATTATAGGAAGAAAGAGAAAGTGCAACCTATTCCAATTTGGAAGATTCTGTTATTATAGCTAATATCAGCAAGAGTAGTTTTTAGCCTTCATGTGAAGTTGATTTCTTGATCTGTTCTATCTAGCAGGACTGACACACATAGAGAGATAGGGATGGAATTTCAGCCATTTGGGATCTGGATAGCTTTTAAGGGAGGTCTAAATATTTCATGGAAGTTTAATGCATGAGTTGACTCCCCAATGGAAAAAAAAAAAGCACGGTTTTATTGCCAATTTCATCAGCACATTTTAACTGTTGTAAAAGTAAGGCTAGTTACCCCATAATCTGCAAGTCGTCATCTGTTGTCCACACTTTGTAATATGGTTTAAGTATTGACAGAGTTTTATATGCAGGTCAAAATGAGATGATGGCTTTTAGGTAGCAGATGTGGTTTCATGAAATGGGGATGAATAGCATCAAGGTATTGGGAGAATCAAGCTCTAGAACACCGCCATATTTAAATAATTCCTTCAGATCAGTGGTGAAATCTAAAATTTGTTACTACCGGTTCTGTGGGCGTGGCTTGGTGGGGGGGTAATGTGACTGCGTGGGCATGGCCAATTTTTTTTTTTAACTTTTAAAACCATTTTTTCTACAACCTCTTCGGCGAAGAGGTTGTAAAAAAATGCTTTCAAAAGGCTCTGATGATCCCAGCTGAGTTGCTGATCGGCAGAGGCTTTTTTTCTTTTAAAAGCTTCTGCCGATCAGGCAACTCAGCTGGGATCGTCAGAGGCTTTTAAAACCATTTTTTCTACAACCTCTGAAGAGGTTGTAGAAAAAATGCTTTTAAAAGCCTTTGACGATCCCAGCTGAGCCGCGCAATCATCAGAGGCTTTTTCTTTTCCTTTTAAAAGCATTTTTTCTACAACCTCTTCAGCCGAAAAAATGCTTTTAAAAGTAAAAAAAAAAGCCTCTGATGATCGCGTGGCTCAGCTGGGATCATCGGAGGCTTTTAAAAGAAAAAAACCCTTTTTTTCTTTTAAATGCCTCTGACGATCCAAGCTGAGTTGCCTGATCATCAGAGGCATTTAAAAGAAAAAAAGAGGTTGTAGAAAAATGCTTTTAAATTTTTTTTAAAAAAAGTCTCTGATGATCGTGCGGCTCAGCTGGGCATGGGGGGGGGGCAGGGATTTTTGCTACCGGTTCTCCGAACCACCCGCCTCCATCGCTACCGGATCGGGTGATCCGGTCCGAACCGGGAGCATTTCACCCCTGCTTCAGATGCAGTTAAAGACGCTTTCCCACCATCCGTTTTAGATATGCCGGTTATGACATAACAATCCACCACTGTTTTATATTAAAAAACCTAAGTCATAAACTTGCTTATTTCCTCAGACATCCTGTTTTTCTATCCTGGAATCCATCCACTCCCGAATCAGTAAAACTATTGATTATTGAAACAATGTTTTGCATGTTGACAAGATGATGCAACTTGTCGGATTTCAAAAAGATATTCCCTATGGAAAGTTAGCCCTTGGCATCTGTGAACCAATTAGGTTTAGCTGAGATAAACAGAGCACAAGCAGTGCCATCAAAAAGGAGAAGGCGGTGGATCAGAGCTGATCAATAGCTCCAAATACTTGGGGGAAACACGGGCTGAGTCTTCAGCAACAAATGACTTTTTAAAAAAATTTCGTGCTACCGTTCTTTTTCCTCTCCTGTTCCCCATGTAAAGACCCATATGCAATTTTACACTTTGGTGCTGCATTCAAACATTTTAAATATACTGCATTCTAATTCTGCAGTATTTTCTCTCTTGAATTTAGGCAATGCCATTTTTGCAGCATCAGCAGTAGCATCCATCCATCAATCATAATCTGAAACAAGTGGAACAATTTGGTTACATAAGAAGATATAGCTACATAAAATTGGTGACCAATGACTTCCCTTGATAAACTGAAAGATCTATTCCTGCTAATTACTGTATTTTTTCAGGTATAAGATGCACTCCCCACCCCCAAAGTGGGTGGAAATGTCTGTGTGTCTTACGGAGCGAATGTTGTCGAAGCCACGCCCACCATCTGGCCCCCACCCTTCGGCCTCTATCTCCCAGCAATTTGCCTCCTTGCAGCAAACAGCAAACAGCCTGGTCAGTTTCAGCACAGCCTGATTTAGCACGAGCAGCTGTTTGGCGGTTGGATCTGCCTCCCAGAATACCGCCTTTCAGCTGTTCCAGGCTGCGGGGATCAGCACCACCCATCGCCGCCATCCATTGCCGCTGCCGCCTATCGCCGCCTCTGCATGTCCCATTTTCAGCATCCGTGCACCCCATTTTCAGCCTGTTCTGAAAACTGCAGCAATAGGTGGCAGTGGCAATGGACGGCGACGATCCCCGCAGCCTGGAACAGCTGATAGGCGGTATTCTGAGAGGCAGATCGAACTGCCAATCAGCTGCTTGTGCTAAATCAGGCTGTGCTGAAACTGACCAGGCTGTTTGCTGTAAGGAGGCAAATTACTGGGAGGCAGAGACAGATTTTTTTTTTCTTGTTTTCCTCCCAAAAAGCTGTGGGTCTTATAGTCTGGAGTGTATAGTCCAAAAAATATGATATCTTTCTTTTCTTAAAAAGGTAAGATTTTTTCTAAAGGTAGACCTCAATTTGTGACTGTTCGTTTAACAATGGTCAAGAACTACAAAGGCATCGGAAAGGGTGCTATACAACCTGTGAAGCATTTCCAGTTAGAATAACATAAAATAATAGGGCTGGAAGGGATCTTGGAGGTCTCATAGTCCAACCCCCTGCTCGAGCAGGAGCTCTTGTATCATTCCAGATAAATGGTTGTCGCAAAGTGTTGCATTGCCACCACCATGGTCATGTGATCATGCAGGAGACCCTATACCATATCAGTCTTTTCTTAAAAACCTCCAGTGATGAAGTACCCACAACTTCTGAAGGCAAGCTGTTTCACTGGTTAATTCCTCACTTGCTCTCCTTGTTTAGTTTCTTGTCCTGCCTTCAGATGCTTTGGAAAATAAGTTATCTGCTATAACATTCCAACATGGCGGTATAGATTCCATGCAGTGGTGGGTTTCAACCAGTGTTGGTTCGCTCCGCGCAAGTGCATCATATTTCAGAACAGCTGAGGCACAGCAGTCCGCTCTGCCGCGCCTATCAGCTGGGCTAAAAATGAACAAATATAGGTAGGTATAGCGCAGGGGCGGGCGGGAGGGCCCAGCTCACGGTTGGAGCGAACCGGTTTGTTCTCACCTCACCATCGGTGCTACCGGCTCACCTGAACCGGGCCGAACCGGGAGCAACCCACCACTGATTCCATGTCTTACCATTATTTCACATTTCACCTGGTTGTTTTGCAGCATTTTCCACAACCAGGTGAGTCACAGACAGACAGCAGGACAAAGGTTCACAGAGCGTGACCACAACCGTTCTTAAATACAGATTAAGGTGTATTAAGAAGCAAATACCACTAAAGGAATTTGGTTAAGAAACTCAACCAATATTTGTTAGTCACACATGGTAGGTGAGGTGAACTCATGAATGCACAGCAGAGAAAGCTGAAATCTGTCAGCTTAATATCACATCTGCATTTCAAATTCAACCCGGGATACCGAAAATAAAGCAAAGGTCTTAAAAAGCACCGGTTGTGAAAATTTCATCAATGGATATATTTGCAAAACAGAAAGAATGAAGAACTGTAATAACTGCACCATATATATGTAACAGTGCAGTATATATATATTGCTCCTGGAAGCACGAAGCCGAGAACACCAGCCTGAAGATGACAAATGAGACTTCGTCAAAACGTCGCCAAGACACTTCCAATTTTACGTGGGAGAAGACCCGAATAACCAAAGACCTACATATATATATATATATATATATAAACACGGTGCAGTTATTATATATATACATACATACATACATACATACATACATACAAGCTGGCTTTTGAAGGAGAAGCAGCAGCCCAGGTGTGCGCGAGACTGTCTGCAAAAGAAACCTGACCTTCAGAACAAAGGCAGAAGAAGCTCCAAACAGCGTTCCCACAGCATACAAAGATGCAGTCTTGGAAAAGGAACTATTTGGTTTTTGTCGTGAACAAATAGCCGTGGAGAAAGATCCTTAACAAAGCAGAATATGGAAAGGAAAAACAAATGACCCTTCCCCCAATAACGGTGCACCGCATTTTGCAATTCAGTATTGTGGAAAGACCAAAGAAAGCAAGATGCCTCATTTATTTCTTTGAACAGAAAAAGGGTTAAAAACACACACATACACACACCTAGAACTATACCAGCTCTAAGTTAATCTCCTCTTTCAATTTTTTTTTCATTTTAAAAAGTACAATTAATTAAGCTAAAAAACAAATTCCTTGAGCATCCGAAAAAAAATCCTTTAAAGAAAGGTTTATAGATATGGTACTCACCATTAGAGGGCACTACAGTACTGCAATAGACAGCTCCCATCATCTGCAAAGGAGGAAATCTTTGGTGCGCCTAGAAAAAAATGAAGATTTTTTTTTTTGTTAAAACCGTAAACGCTCGGTTGCTTCAGATGACCTATGCCGTGATACTTCATCTTGCTATCTCCTAACAACTACAGCATGGAAGATAGTAAGCCAGGTTTAACAATGGAAGAAAAACTCATCATTTGATGTAGATATTCTCCTAAACCAGTTCTCATACCTTTCGTTTTTGATCGTCGGATGGTTAAAAAAGCAAATTAGGCGGACCTTAAATCTTTCAGTGTACTTTGGGGATGAATTTCTATTTGGAGTTAACAAATGGAGAAAAGACATTCATAGGCGGGAACTTTTTATAATATTGGACAAAACCAAGAATGGAATGCTGCATTAACAGGATGGGCTAGAAATGGAGTCATATATCGCCACTCCTTGTTTAGTGACCACATTCTGTTCTAAGCGACCAGGCTATTAAATGAAATGGTCACTAAGTGAACACATGACTGAGAGAGAAAGAGATGATGTGAAGATCATTGTTTACTGACGTTTCATTCGAATAAAATACTCTCAGACAGCTATGCTGGTGTTGATCTCATTAGACCATAGAGCAGGGGTATCAAACTCGATTTCATTGAGGGCCATATCAGGGTTATGTTTGACCTCAGGGGGTGGGGTGGGGTGAGCATGGCCAGCTCAATGTCACTCATGTCGGAGGCACCTGTGGTGGCCCGAGCGCTCTGCCATCTAAAACGGGCTCCCGAGCTCCATTTATGGCTGCGACGGCCTCCTGCAACCCTCTTGCCAGTGAAAATGGATCTCGGGAGGGCAGTGTGCAGCCCTCCTGAGCTCAGTTTTCACTGGCAGAGGCACTGTGAGCTGGTCCTTTGGTGTTTCCAGGGTGGCCCCATGGGTCAGATCTAAGCACCCCACGGGCCTTCAGTTTGACACCTCTGCCATAGAGTCATAGGGCTGGAAGGGACCCTAGAGGCCTATTAGTCTAATTACCTGCTCAAGGCAGGAGACCTTATACCCATGATGGTGAACCTATGGCACGCGTGCCACAGGTGGCACATGGAGCCATGTCGCCTGGCACGCCAGCTTAGCTCCGGGAGTCTCTGGAGGCTGGGGACAGCAAAAAACATCACTTCCTGTCCAACTGGAAGTTGGGAAATGGGCCGTTTTGGGCCACTGGAAGGCCTCCGAGGGGGTGGGAAAGGCTATTTTCACCCTCCCCAGATGCATAGAGAGGATCTGGAGCCAGGTGAGAAAGAAAAACGGGCCATCACATGCCAAGAGCGGGGGAGGGGGGAGCACCTGCATGCGCGGGGCAGGGCGCATAGAATTATAGGTGTGGGCACTCATGCGCGTGAACCTCCCCTGCCCCCCCCTTTCCTGGCACGTGATGGCAAAAAGGTTAGCCATCACTGCTTTATACCATCCCAGTTAAATGGTTGTTCAGTTTATTTTTAAAAACCTGCAGTGATGGATCAACCACAATTCTGAGAGGCAATTCAATTGCATTCATACCAAGCAGCTATTCCAGCACATGCCCATGAAATTTGTTTGTGAATGAGCACATTGGCCAGAAAATGATTTCTTATTACCATTCATTACCATTGTATTTGCAAATGGTTTTTAACCAAGGTGGTCATTAAAAGAGGAGGAGGGGGTATATTCAGCACTCCCAGCCAGCATATCTAACATCAGATTGATCAGTGTGGTGCATTTTATGCAAGCAAATTTACAAGAGAAATGTGAATATATATATACACACATTAAAATAGAATTACAATGGGGAAAGAATAAGAACACTAGGAAGTACCGATAAATCTGTATTAACTGCACACATTTGCCTTGTTTATTGAATTAAACCACATCACAAAGATATGGGGCTGGCAAATAATTGAGATTAAAGCTTGCTGCTTTTTAAAGTCATATGCATCTGTTACATATAGCATGATTTTCATACATTGGGGATAGTGATCAAATAATCCTTTCCCCAAGGACTTCTTAATAAATGTGTGTTTTGCAAAAACAAACAAACAACTAGAGGACTTGTTGCAAGTCACTTTTTTTTTCTTTCACACAAATTCTTAAATATTAAAACCTGCACTCTAACCCATTCTATTAAGTCTAACTTGCACACTTAAACATTCTTTGGCAGATATGAGACCTATTTTGAAACTGCTTACTTACAAATAAAACAATTAATACAGTTTTGATAAATTCTACGGTTTACTTCTTAATGAAATCCTTGCTTTTCAAGACATCGTCCAAAAAGACTGTGCTGAAATCTATAGTGTTTATATTTTGTTAAGATCATCTATATCAATATAGCTGAAACAAGGAAAACTGTCTTGGTCAAAAGCCGTTGATATTTACTCAGAACAAACACGAACGTTATGAAAAAGTACTTTAATGTGGAGCACCATCCATCATTCTGTGGATTGAAGAAACTATTTTAGCACTGAAAAAATAGCAAGTTCCTCTAATTTGCAATGTGGCAGCAGCCACTCCACAGGATCTGACCATCAGACATTTTACTATCTAGAGTATCTCACTAATACAGCAGTACAGTAGACATTTGCTAGTTGTCCAAAGCAGTCAAAGTGAAACCTTGGTATTTTGTATAAATAAGGGATCAACTACCCTCTGGAACAGCAAACCACTAGAGATAAAGATGGTGTTCTCACTCTTAGGAAAGCCTTGGAAATCTGGCTTTGATTCCCAAATCTGGGCTTGTTTGTATTTTTTCATGGCCCGTTTTATTTGGACTTCGGCAACCAACAAATAGGAATAAATACATACATTTAAAGGACTCTAAAGACCAAAGAGAGAAAACATCAGTCTCTCTCCTCAATGTATTAGATATAGCATCTCTACATTATTTTCATGTTGATCAACATTTTTGTTCATCCCATCTTCCAGGGGACTCATAGAGGAGTAAGTTTAGAATAAGAAGTGTAATATAAAAAGCATGTAGAAATGTGTGGGATTCAATATTGAAGGGCATGAAGATATAGTCCATGCAGGAAAATTCACAAATTCATCTTAAAGTCTTGTTGGCTAACTTATAAATTGGTCCATATTCATTTAGGTAATATTTTCATTGCCACAGCCTTTGCTATGCCAGAAGGAGAAAATAATGCTTATTCTGATATCTTATGATATTATTCTGATATAGGTAAAGGTAAAGGTTCCCCTCGCACATATATGCTAGTCGTTCCCGATTCTAGGGGGGTGGTGCTCATCTCCGTTTCAAAGCCGAAGAGCCAACGCTGTCCGAGTCTCCGTGGTCGTGTGGCTGGCATGACTCAACGCCAAAGGCGCACAGAACGCTGTTACCTTCCCACCAAAGGTGGTCTCTATTTTTCTACTTGTATTTTTTACGTGCTTTCAAACTGCTAGGTTGGCAGAAGCTGGGACAAGTAACAGGAGCTCACTTTGTTATGCGGCACTAGGGATTCGAACTGCTGAACTGCCGACCTTTCGATCGAAATGCTTAGCATATTAGGCACTGAGCTACCATATCCTTTTTATTCTGATATATAATTACATTATTAGTAAATATAATGCCTGTACTACCAGCAAGAACTAGAACAATACACTTTTAAACATTCTGAATGAGTGTTTCAATTTTAAAACAGCACAGATCTTGTAGGTATACTGTCTCGCTTGTAAAAAAAAAGGTGTGTTTTATAAAACCGCCCTGAGTCTCTGGAGAAAGGTGGCATATAAATTGAACTAATAAAAGCTACGGTACTACTAAAAGCTTTTCAGATTCCATTCTTTGGATTAACAAGAGTTATAGACCTCCCTAATTTGATTAACTTTTCCCAGTCATGCTTCTTGTATTTTTAGAAGAGCACTTTCTTGTTGGAAACTCTTAACATTGTTAATGTTAAGTCTTTTATCCTGGTAAAACTCTTTTTACCTGTCCTAGTTCAAAAATTCTAAGTTGTATATGTTGGCCTGTTTGGATCAGAGATTGCAAATTAATTCACTTTTGAATTACGGAATATACCAATAACTATACTGATATACCTGTTTTCATATGAAATATTATTCTGAATTAAAAAGATTAAAGATACGCAAACTAATACGGATATCTAATAGAAAATCTCTTCTACCAAAGTCATTCAGCAAGTCTTACTGCTCAATAAAATTTAACTGGGAACATGCGAGCATCGTGTGTGTTGGGGGTTGCCATTAGATTGTGAGTTTTGGACTACATTCTGACTTCCAATTTCTTTTCTGAACAAAGTGTGAGGAACTAACGACAATGCTACTTCCTGATAGTATTAATAAGTACTTTCACCTTCCTTGTTCCTGGTTGCCTTAAATTTTCATCTATGCCTATGCACTGACAACTGCACTGAATAATTAGTGCACAATTAAAACTTAACTGAAAATCAGGATGTAAATTCTGATTTTCAAAGAACCCTGAAACTAATGTTTGCATTCCTCATAACATAATGCTGCATTTGTATCCAAGCAGCCACAGATTCTTGCCTTCCAACATTTCCTGTGAGTTAGGCCTGGCTGAGAATGAATTAAATTTCTCTTTGCAGTATATTCATACTCTTATTAAATAGAGTGAAACCAACTTACATGTTTACATATGGTAATTGCGAGTAGGACATGCTGGTTGCAGTTGCTTCCAATATTTAGCATACTTGATGAACATATTCTAAAAACCCCTGGAGATAATTTTGTACATTTCCAATTTCTTATTTTAGGACCAAAATCTAGCATTGGCATTCAGTCAGTCAAATACCAAACCTCTGAAAGAGATTCTACTTGCAGACAAAGAAACAAAGACTAGTTGATAAGAAAGTTGAAAATATTTATATTACAACATTGTATGTAGATTCTCAAAAATGATTCAGTTCTACTGATCTAGAGTTCAGCCAATTAGCTGCCTATGGCAGGAAAGAAAGAAAAAAAACCTTGCTTCCAAGCTCTCCACTCTGAAATAAAAATCAATTTTTGGCTCACACAAGCAGTACCTCAAAATCTATTGGCTATAATCCC